GCCCCCGGCCTGCCCCGCTGCGGGCATGCTCCAAGGCTTTGCTCTCCATCTCCCTGCAGACCAGGGAGACGGGGAGCAGCTTTTCTCGCCCCGGAGGACAGGGGTGGCGGACCGCGGCGCATCTGGGCGTCCCGCTGCTCCCGTCCTCCGGGGCGAGAAAAGCCCCGTTCGTAACTGCGGATAAGTCGGATCCACGTAACTCGGGGACTGCCTGTATACACTTTCTATGCAAGGGTTTCTTTTCAGAAAGCCTAAAATGTGAACAGAACCCTGCACAAACTGGGTTCCAATCCTTACCATTTACATTCGCTCCTTAAGTCACTTTTCCAACCAAATGAAGGCAGAATTCACTCTCTCAAATGGCCCCGATAGCCCTTTCACACAGAAAGGCAGTCAGTGAAAAGATCCCCACAAGGTACAGAAAAAAGATTATGCTATAAAATGTGTCAAAATAAGTTTAGTTAGCAACTATTAAAAATAGAACTGAACCGTAAATAAAAGAAAAACCGATAATTATTATTCTTTATCTAGAAGAAGGGGTTTCTTGTCATGTCTCCTCCGGTGAAGAGAATTAGCTAAAACAGTTTCATATTTTAAACTCCTCAGTCTTAATAAATGAGGCCCAAGACTGTTGGCAAAGTTTACCACAATCCTGGGACCTGATCCAAGTCTCCCATGACAATGGGAAAAACATTAGAACTATAACATTCAAAATATTATTTAACTTTTAAAATCTTCACACAGTTCAAAGACGCCTTTGTTCCAGCTTCGCCTTTGAAAATGTCAGTTACATTCCACGGACAAAGTATTTCCTCCTAATATTATCTGAGTTGTTATAAGAACAACCATGCTGGTTCAGCTCAGGGGCCCGTCTAGTCCAGTATCCTATCTTCCAACAGTGGCCAATGCCAGATGCTTCAGAAGGAATGAGCAGAACAGGCAATTTGTCAAGTGATCCATCATTCCCTGTCATTCAGTCCCAACGCTTGGCAGTCAGAGGCTTAGGGAAACCCATGGCATGTCATTGCGTCCCTGACTTCTTGACTAGTTGCCATTTAAGGACCTATCCTCCATAAAGTTCTCTCATTCTTTTTTAACGCGGTTTTAGTTTTGGCCTTCACAAAATCCTCTAGCAATGAGTTCCACAGATTGCCTGTGTGCTGTCTAATGTTTGTTTTAAACCTTCTGCCTAGTAATTTATCTGGGTGATCTCTGGTTCATGTCTTATGTGAAGGGGTAAAATAACACTTGCTTATTTACCTCCACACAGGTCATAATTTTCTCTGACTCTTATCATGTTCCCCTTTAGTCTGCTCTTTTCTAAAAAAACCAGTCCCAATGTTTGTAATCACTCTTCAGATGGAAACTGTCCTATACTGGGGAGGCAAATATTGTTTTTAAACGTACCCATTTACACTACTGAAATTATATTTGTTAACCAGTTCACAGGCTACCCCGGCTTAGGTGAGGGGCACCTGCTTTTTCTCCTCTCAGGTTGGGTACACAGTGGGGTAGGGGATGGTTTGCATGTTCATGGCCTTGCTCTGATCGTATCTCTCGCTCTCCCAGTTACTAGGGGCTTCTAGTTCGGTGGCCTGCTGCCAGGAGAACATCACACCAGGGCAGATCCAAGTATTCCAGCAGATCAGTGGTTCTTGGGCAGACCCACCACTGCAAAAGATGCGCCCAGCTCATTAGTAGAGTGTCTACAACTAGGTTTCGCGTGTCTATTAGCAGAGCACATTCACACACGTCATGGTGCACACAAAAATTTATTCTGCACACGGATGGAAAAGATTAGAGGGAACACTGGGTTGCCGTCAACAGTGCGCTCTCGACCAGGCAGGAGTTGATTCAGCGATGTGCCAAGCCGCGAGAGCACTGCAGGCTTCAGTCCCCCCCACCCAGGATATGCACGTTAGGTATTACAGTGCCATGACATTATTTTATCAACCTGTTTTAAACATTAACTGCAATATATTAATGGTAAGACTCATACTTATCAGTTAACCATTAACGGTTTCCTATTTTCATGCCTATAATCATTTTGGTTGCCCTTCTATACTTTTTCTCATTCTAATATATCTTTTCCAAGATGGGGCAAAGAGTTGTGACACGTTAGGTATTACAGTGCCATGACATTATTTTATCAACCTGTTTTAAACATTAACTGCAATATATTAATGGTAAGACTCATACTTATCAGTTAACCATTAACGGTTTCCTATTTTCATGCCTATAATCATTTTGGTTGCCCTTCTATACTTTTTCTCATTCTAATATATCTTTTCCAAGATGGGGCAAAGAGTTGTGATTTCTAGTGAGAGCGCTAGACACTCAACAGAACTGGGGGAGGGGAGAAGAGCAGGGAAGAGGTGCTTAAAATGATTGCAGAAATCTTAAAAGCTGGTAAAAGGTTTAATCCTGTATAATGATTTACCAAGTGACAAGTAAAATAGATTTACTGTGACAGTTTGAAAGGAGCCCAACATAAATAAAATTACCACTCACGTGGTCACAACCTCTCAACCACCCTTTTTACAGCTAAAAGCATAAACAAAAGGAAGCGCTCTACCAACCTAAGTAATGATTCCCCACACAGACAATCCAGATCGACAGGGGGAGAGAAAAGAAAACCCAGTAATGCATGAAAGCTGTATTAAGCAATTGCTTTTTAACCGACAGGGGAGAGGGGATGTCCAAAATACTGCGCTGGTTGTTGATCACAAAAATGCTTCAATTCAAAAATAAAAGATATTTGTATACAGTACTAAAATCCTAAGAAAAATACTACCAATGCACAACCCTACAAAAACGTATACTTAACGGCTTTGAAGTTCAATGTTTTATCCCTTCAATTGTAGATAAACTTGAACATGACTGTAATAATTGTACTGCACCAAAAAGGCAAAATATAGCACACAAAATTCAGTGATTAAGTGTCCTAAATACTAGCCTGGCTGACAAGTGCAATACAGTCACAACAGACCTCAGACCCTTTGGCATTGTTTGCATTGTTTTTACCACTGACTGCCAGCAACCAACGTTTAATCGCTTTCATTAGGTACCCTGGACCAAAAATAAATACACGATCTTAGGCTGTCTATTGCTGCCACTCTAATCTATAGAATAGACCCAACTTCTTTCACCAAAACACAACCAAAAAACGTAAAACTTTACCAACTTGTGTAAATACAGGTCTCCCTCACTGTACTTCTGACGCGCAAGTCACATTTCAGTTTCTTTGTCAAGGCTGTTGTCTCTCAAACTGTGTTTACACAAGCACCAAGGGCTGAGTTTTCTTCCATTGAAGCAAACTCATTCAGCTTCCAGCTGTGCAGGAAAAAAAAAAAAAAAGCATTTAAACCACACTGGCTAGAGACCAGCTGCTCTTCTCTGCCTGCATTGAATTTCTGTCAGCTGCACTAGGCTTCACAACCTTAATCCATACACAGAGCAGATCGCAGAGCCCCAGAAGGACCTGATCTTCAGACACAGAGCAAGGGGACGCTGCAGTTTTGGCAATGGCATTTCTCCCCCTCCCCCCAATTAATCCCTCTGCCTTGCACAGATTGAGAGGAATTGAATCTGCACTTAAGAGGTGCTCTCCTTCCCCCTCTTCATCCCTTTTCCAGCCTCCTCCCCTATCTTTCACCCCCTTGGCTCCTCTAGCTCTAGGGCAGTTTGGCTGCCAGAAACCAGCTGATGCTAATCATGTTTCCATCAGTGGTCCCAGGGCTGCCCCTCTCTTGTGGAAGGAGGGAGACACACACGGACTCCAGCCCCTTTGCCAATTACATCAAGCCCCAGATGCTTGCTGTAGCAGTGCATCCATGGCTCCAAAGCCCGGCCTAAAAACCACACAACTCAAGCAAGTCTCTGCTCGTTTCTGGTGGGGCATCATGAGAACACACACACACACACACACACTCATGAGAACTCTCTCTCTCTCTCTCTCTCTCTCTCTCTCTGGTTTCCCCCATATGCAGGGTTTATAGTTTGGTTCAACAGCTCCCAGCACACGTCACTATACAAAAAGTTCTAATGTCCCAGCCCCTCACCCCAAGTCGGTACCGCCTGGATGCAAAGTCCTTTTATACCCGCTCCTTCAGCAGCTTCTCAAACATCTGTTTCCTTTATCTGAATGTACGGAATCAACATGGATCATGCCCGCTTCCCCCAAAAACCACACCAGAAACTGTAAACAGGTCACTTACTGCCAAGGGCATCTTCCTTGCGAAAGAAAAATTAAAAAGTGTGAACATTGTGATTCTAAGATACAGACTTTTAACAAAAAATACCAACAACAAACTAGTTCGGTGTTTACTGTACAGCAACCCTGGGCTTAAGGACACGTTGGAAAAGTCATCTGATTCAACCACATGATTATGTAAAATTACTACTCATTAAGCAGGTTTTGGAAAAAATTCAGTCTGATTTCAACACTTGCAAGGAACACACAGACGCACACAGATCGCTCGCCGTTCTCTGCAGAATCCCCATTGTTTAACATAGTCTCTAAATAGAAAGCACTGATTTAAATTGAGGTTTGGAAACTTGTAATCAAACCTGCCATCATTCCCTCCTCTCCTTTCCTTCCCCCTCTCTCCACCTCCAACTCTCCCCATCAGCTCTTTTGGAGCACGTAATGCTGCATCTTTACATTATCTGTGCGGGAGAAGCGGAGGGAAAGTGAAACACCCATGTTTATCCAACAGAATTTTCCCCTCTGCCTCCTGCAAAGAGCATTCATCTCCATCGGAGTCTTAACCACTGTTTGTCCAGAGATGTGTCAACTACACGCAGAAATGCCTAATGAGAATCTGATCTGTCATCCAAATGTTCTCCCACCACTCCTCTCCCTGATGGGCAGTTGCCTACACAGCACGCTGGTTGATGTTATAATTTGCTTGCCAATCCTCCAAGGGAGGAAGCTAAGTGGGGGAATTAAAATCAGTGAAACATCAGCACAAGGCTGCTCCGGTTTTCATGTGCTGACAGCTCTTCTCAAAACACAGAACATTGGCACCTAAGAACTACCCCCAGAAGCAGTTACCACACAAGCAGGGACTAAAGGACAATCACAGGTATCAGAGATCAATACAGGCTATGCCTAAACAGGCAACATACAGGTAAAAAAAACTATCAGCCTGATCCTACAGACAGACAGGCACCGGAGTATACTTAAGTCATATTGACTGAACTGTGTTTCTTCGTAAAGTTATTTTACCTTGAGCCCCCCCCAACTAAGCTTGATGCTCCATTGTGCTAGGTGTTGTACACATTAGGTAATCCCTAATGCAAATAGACAAGTCAGACTGCTGCTTTACAGAGGGGACACCAAATTAGGAGTTTAAGTGATTCACTCATATAGGACAGAAATGAACCCACACAACCAGAGTCTCCACGCCGTACCTTAAACCTAAGATGCTCTTTTCTCACTACATCTGGTAGGAAACTTTTATAAGACTGGGTCCAATGTTTCCAGCAAAAAAGTATATTTAACTGTGTAAATGTGTTGGGCTCAAATCCTTCAAAGACTTACACATATTGTTTAACTTTACATACTGAGCAGCTTCAACTCCCATTGTAGCATCAGGGACTGGTAATATTAAAAACTCAGATATTTTAAAAACTTAAAACAGGCCTGAAACACGTAACCAAGTGCTTTAACTTTTATACGCACAAGTATTTCCAGAGAGCTCAAGGAGGACTAGTCATGTCTTTAGGATTATTTCTGTAAATAAGTATATTCAGGATCGGAGTTTTATTTATCTTGTGAGGGAGTAAGAGGATGGCCTGCCAGTGCAGGGACTAAACAAGGCCTTTTTGTCCAACTAGTCCTGCCCCATTTTACTTGCAGCCAATGCCAGGCCTATAGGGAGAATGAAAGAGAGGAACCGGGCTCAGTTAGGGGTTGCTCAGCGACGAGACCTGAGCTGTCTACTGGGTCAGCCACAGGAGCATGTAAGCCTCCATCCCCTCCCCCTGGCGCAAAGAGCAGAAGGAACCTTCACTGAGGAGGGGGACATTGGACTCTTGGGGCCATGCCCCAAACTGAAGAATCAGACACTGACAAGAGGCTGGAATTACAGGCCTGGGGCCTCAGCGGCAGGGGACCAACACCCCGGGCCACCAGCTACCATTGGGACCTAACCATTAAGCCACCCCGCTGCCCGGGAGACCCAGCCACAATCTTCATTTGGACTTGCTATGCCTTTTAGCATCTCTTTCCGTTTGGACAATGTTATTAGGGGGGAGAAGTATAAAGATGAGTTTGGCAGAAGGCCTACTACTTGAAATGCAACGTTCCCCAACAAAAGGGTGCCATACTATTACTTCTTTAGAAATAAATCAGTCACCCAGTCTAGTTTCATCACCCCAACCAAGGAACCTGATGAATACAAAGCAAAAAGTGTGCAAAGTAAATTAGATCAGAAAATGTTTCAGTTATAAAGGGCTACTGAATGTAATAGTTTCCAGATTTCTCCACCGGCACCATCTAATTTTGTTACTTCAGTGACAGAAGTTGAAGAAAAAATATTAAAATTAAAAGAAAATATATCTCTTTAAATATGTATTACTGCTTTGTGCATTTGACAATATTCCATAAAGTCAGTTTCATCATTTCATATATCAGTTTCCTCTGTGTGGATCTTACACATACAAACAGGAGAAAGAACCACTGTTTTGTTTTTAAAAAGAAGAAAGTATGGCTATAAAAGCCATGAAATCAGTAAAGCAACTCAGTAGTAAATGCAATGCCAATGCCACTTTATACAAACAACAGTACAGTGAATGCTCAAAAGTAAGATTTAGTAATAATCACAGATTTTAATAGCTACATATTATATTCCCCTAAATTCCTATCAAGCCAAATTTTCCTGAGACCGTATTAATAAATGCAAGTAGTTCTTTGGTTTCAAAGAATAGAAACAAAGTTTTCATATAAAAAGGAGTTCTGACAGCACTTTCTGAGACTGTAAAAATGAAGTCCTTTGCTTAAATATTTTAAACAATATAATTTGACTTAATCTGTATTTTTCAACAGATCCATCTCTGAAAAGTGTTAATCAAGTGCAGTGTAAAGCATCATGTTATCTACAAAAAACTCCTTAAGGCGGATTCTTTTGAAATAAAGGAATTTCAACATGAAATTTTGTCCCAAGAACGATTATTAAAGCCAACAATCATGAAAGGAATAATGACAAAACCCATGAACAAAGGAAATGTAAGGTCTACATTTTCAAAGGTGATTAGTGATTTTGAGAGACTTTTTTGGGGGTGTCTAACTTGAGATATCTTAAAAGGGGTCTGATTTTCACACAGGAAGTGCTTACGACATCCTGGACTCAGGTCTTTTTTTAGCCTCTCATTTAATTCACCCAAAAAACTAGGGAAAATGTGCAGAATTTGTTCAGAAAAATGTTATCCAAACCAAATTTTGATGGAAAATTAGAGGGCAACCAGTATGTCCATAAATGTTTGTTTTCCAAAATAATAATAATTAATAAAAGAAAGACTTAAATTTTAGAAGCATATGGATGACAAGACTCAATGAGAGGTATGGGAAGCTTTCTTGATTGCAGCTACAGCAAATTTGTGGGATCATTCTCTTGGGCAGTTTTATAACAAGGGCTCAAAAGAGGGGACTGTTATTTTGTTTGCAACACTATTGTAGTCAAAATTTTTACACATTGATGCGCACTAGCCCTGATCCTGAAACACTTGCACCCATGGTTAGCTTTAGGCAATGTTATTTCTATTACCCCAGTGCCTAGCACTCCTAGTCATGAAGCAGGACTGCATTGTGTGAGGTGCTGTACAAACACAACATAAACCAGTGCTATTGATTTCATTGAGACTATTCAGAGTACCCAACATTCAGTATGTGCATAAGCAATTGCATAATCGAGTCCCTAGTTTGTATACATGTGTTCCATCTATTTGTTCTTTAGGAAGTTGAAGACATTAATTTAATGTATTTATATTCTCCACTTCACATATGTACCGATCTCCTATTATGCATATCTGTGGAGAGAAAGCCCCTTCAGTCAGTCAGTCAGTCAGTCAGTCAGTCACACACACACACACACACACACACACACACGACAGATATATCGCCTATGCACCCCCAGAGTAAGCCTAATGACTTAATCCACCACTACTGAACTTATACAACCACCTTTAGGGCGAAACTTTTCAGCTGCTTAAGAATACACAGAAACAAGTGTGTAGATGAGAAAACAGTATTAAAAATCAGGGAGCAAAGAATATTGCCCTCCACATTTCTTGGGGAATCTGAAAAGTAGATAAGTTACTGTCAGTTGGGT